CACATGTTGCTGTAGGATGTATTTATTTACTCCAGCTAGGGTTGGAGAGATTTTACTAAACATTGTGTATCCTATTTTTGTAAATCTGACTTTAGTTAAATCCATTTTTTCCTGAGCATAAGCTGATTTGAGGACTTTACTGGATAAAAGTGAGGCTTTATTTAAAATAGTTATTAAAGGGACTTTACGGAGTTTTGAATTTTTATGCTCGCGATTGCCCCCTCAGACAAAAAGCATAACGGCAGCTTCAATAGTAGGCTCGTGCACGGGCGCGCATGCTATACGTGCACACTCCTTAACGAAAATAACAGCTGACAGTCAGCTCCGTGTGTGTGTGTGTGTGTGTGTGTGGCCCGGAGGACAGAGGACAGGAGAACGCGCAGCTAATTAATTAAATAATTAGGTTCTGCACCTTTCTCTTCAGCACAGCCGACAAAGGTTTAAGATGGGTCAGTCTTCCTGCATGCTCAGATCATTCCCTTCCCATGCTTGAAAAATTGTTCCAAAATGAAAGTTGAACCCACATCTTTTTTATCTGTGAATTCAATGCCGTTCGGCGAGTCTCAAATGAAAATGTGGGCATCTTACTGTAAAAAATATACCATTAATGTAAAAAATAAACTCTAAATAAAATTTGTTCACATCTAGATTCAAACCCGGATCTTCCGCACTGGAGTCCATTGTCTTTCTAGATGAGATGAAGCGCCAGTAACATCTTTTCTATCTGTAGCTCTTATTTCCTTGCTGACAGCCGAAACAACGTTCAAAGAACGGTTCGGAGCGAAAATGGCTATTTTGTTGCTAATTTGCAGGAAATATCTAGAAGAAAGTAGCTTATGGTCCTCAGAAATGTAGCTAGGTTCATCACTAGGCGTGAGGTACAGCGACAAAGTCGCTGAGTTGGCACTGCCTCTCTCTCTGCTGCTAAAGCTACGGATAGCAAACGCTACGGGCGATGCCTGAGCGTGAACGCGCATGAAGCAGCCTGCTCGACCCGAGCAACTCTCTTTTTCTGTGATTTTACAGAAAAACAGGCAATCACAGTAAAAAATGCCAGGGCTCATTCTACAGGACCAGGGCATTGCAGGAGAATGTATGAAGAAGACATTTATTATTTCTATACATGTTTTGGCTGTCAAACTTCCATAATGCCCCTTTAAACTGGTTAAAATCAGCAGTAAAAATGTGTGTTGATTCTTTGAATGACATTTCAGAGTTCTGTTTGTTCTCTGCGCGTTGTGAATTATTTATTTTAATCTAAGAACAAAACATTTATGAGGTATGTGCACTACAATTTTGATGTGTTTTTGTTTGCCTGTAGATAAGCACGCTGCTGCAGGCAGAGACGAGGCTTCAGGCTGAGGTTCAGGATGCTAGAGACCAAAATGAGCTGCTTGAATTCAGAGTGCTGGAACTGGAAGTAAGAGACTGTACCACCATCAGACTGTCACCAGGAGGCGACAATGACAGTCTCATCACCAGGCGCAGAACATACATACAGTGACTCATGAAACACACAACCATAGTTTTGTCCCTCACTGTTCCTTTGTGTGTGTTTCCCTGTTCTGCATGGCAGCTGTACCTCCCCACCATGGGACTGGATCTTTCTTATGAATGCTGTTGTGTAAAGATGAATATGTTTTATTAGAATAAAATATATTTAAGTTTACCATCTGTTTCTTTAATTTGCCATTTTTTGTATGCATGGTGTATTATTTTGTTTTATTTTTCAAACAGAAAAATAGAATATTCAATGAATATTGAAGAAGCTACAGAATAATTTCATTTCAGCAGAGAGTATAATTGAATATATTTTTATGTGCTGCAGTTTTGCCTCTATGTAGAAGGAATGAAATAGTCCTTTTTGAGTTTTAGCATGCATCCCTGTCGGTTTGTTTGTCCTTTGAACGTCTTTGGGTTTTCACAACTCCATCGTTTTGGCAGACCCTGGCCAATATTTTCAGTTTCATGTAAGTAAATCCTCATCCCCTCCCATTTCACCCTCCACACTGTTATTTAATATCAGTATAACTATCATTCTCACTGCTCATCTTTGTTGTTACAAACCAGAGTTGTGTAGAAGTGTTTCATGCTAACATGGGTGTTCCCGTAGGAAAGGGAACGTCGATCACCTGCCCTGAATTTCCACATGTCGGCATTTCCTGAGAACAGCAGCAGCGCCCTGCAGATCTACTGCCACCAAGAGGGAGTGAAGGTTAAAGTCCCTGATTAAAGAGGCTTATTATTTACTGTAAGGCTCCCTTATACGCCACCATATTAATACCATGTCCCGATCTTCATCCGTACAGGATGTAATCATTCCTGAGCTGATGAAAAAGCTGGATATTCTGGGGGATAATGGAGTAAGTTAGATCCCACTTCACCAGTTTTTAAATAAATTGAGACCTAACTCGTTGTGGTTATGTCCTGCAGAATCTCAGAAATGAGGAGCAAGTTGCAGTGATCCAGGCAGGAACAGTGATCTCACTCTGTGAGAAGGTGAACTCAACATGTTCTTGTGTTTGCTGCCACTCTGTGGACATGTCCTTTTATTGAAGTTTACACCTCATTTAACAATTTAGAGGAAATGTGCTGCCTGTCTCTTTGTGCAGTGGTTGAAGCAGATAGACAGCACAGAGGCCGCCCTCACGCAGAAGATGATCGACCTGGAAAACGACAAGGTGAGAAAAAAATTAAAAAACACCTGTTACTTATTTCAAATCTCTGAGTTGACGTTTATTAAGAAAATTACATGAATCAACAATTCTATATTTTTAATATCAGGTTTCAGATTAACATGACATGATAATTTAGACTGTGATTTTTGTTATTGCAGGAGTTGTTCAGTAAGCAGAAGGGATTCCTGGAGGAGGAGCTGGATTACAGGAAGCAGGCCTTGGATCAGGCTTACATGGTAGGAGTCCTGGATTTGCATTACCTGCTGTACTTATGTACTTTTTACATGAAATAAGGCAAACTCGTACAGTTTGGTTAGGGTTGTGTAAAGAGCACAGCGGCTCGTGATGATGAGTGGGATATTGTCATTTCTGCATGACACATAAGCATTTGGGACCCCATTAATGATCATAAATACAACATTCATGTTCCATGAAGTAGAGATTTGTCACATTTTGTTGGGATACTGCATCTTTTCTCACAGAAATCTGAATGATGTAATTGTTCTGATCCACAGAGTTGGCTGGTGGGTCACTTATTTACTCTGTAGAAAACCCAAAGATCAGAATCATGACGATGTTACTCAGTTTGGATTAAACTGAATGTAAAGATGACTCAACCACATATGTTTATTAGCATGTTAATTTTTTAAATCATGGTCTTTCTTATGTGCTAACACGGTAGCCATAGAAACGGGTTAGGCTCAGAGTCATTTTCCTTAAACCATTTTAAAGGATGACTTTTGATCATAGTCAATAGTTTTCACTGGTATAGTGTTTTTTCTGTAGTATTGTTGTTTATAGGATTTGTTTAAGTGGAGAACAAATGAGTTTGTTTTCAAACAGAATTGTCACCAATATAAAGTGGAACAGTGTTCTGCCATGGTCACAGTCGTGTGTATGTTTGTGTGTGCATTTGTGTTTTTGTCTGTATGTGCCCCAATGTGCCTGCTTCTGCATGCCAATAATGTTCTGCATGTGCATGTGCACACTCGTGGGTGTGTGTGTGTTTGTGTATCTGTGTGTGTATGGCTGGTTGTGCAGAGGATCGAGGAGCTGGAGGCCACGCTGTATAGCGCTCTGCAGCAGGAGCAGCCGGCATGCCGTGCGGTGGCCGAGTCGCTGACAGACAGGCAGAGGGAGGAGCTGAGGCTAGCTGTGGACAAGCTGCGGCGTCAGATTCTCCGGCAGAGCCGGCAGTATGACAGTCAGATCTTACAGGAGCGCATGGAGCTCCTACAGCAGGCACAGCAGGTAAGGTCCAAAACAAACCCAGTCAGGTTGTTGAGTCCTGCCCGTCCTCAGTCTGTCACCTCAAACCCCACCAGAGCTCTGGTGCTGTAAAAAGATGCAGTATCCCTGTGTGTGCTCCTGTAAGTCTGTAAGAGCAAATGAAGCAGTGGAGGAGAAAAATACATGCGTGCATGTGTATGTGTGTGTGTGTGTGTGTGTGTGTGTGTGTGTGTTTCACTGTGAGTTTAGTACCTACACTTCCTAATAGTGCCTGTAGTTTCACACACATGGTTTGTTTTCTTGTTGTCATTGATCACATCAACATCCCAAACTTCATTTAAGTTCATTTTAATCTGACATACTGTAGACTTCAGAAATACTTCTGTCTCGTCATAAACACACCACTAACCCAAACGACTGATAGAAGTCAGGTTATAGGAGGTCACATAAGTGGATCTGTTTGGTAGACGGGTTTAAAATTCTGTTAGTTTTTTCAAAGTAAAATAACAAATAGGTGTTTGAGGCCTGCCCGTGTGTGTGTGTGTGTGTGTGTGTGTGTGTGTGTGTGTGTAGCTACTGAAGGTCACAGATATCTCAGGAACAAAGCAGAGCTAAGATGGAGTCATTTATGTTGTCTATTCACTATCAGCTGCCATCTTAACTCGCACATCTACAGTGAAGGCACAACACTAGAGAAAGGAAGGACAGTTTATTTAGAGTAAAACAATAATAAAGTCTTATGTTATTGTTTACGACTAAGTTTTCATGTAGATTTGTGTTTTTAACCCATTCTGACCAGCTAACACCTATTGTTTTTGTGTTGCAGAGGATTAGAGAGCTGGAGGACAGGATTGACTTGCAAAAGAGACAAATAAAAGACATAGAGGAAAAGGTACAATTTCAGAACTTTGCTAACTTTGTGTTTTCTCTGTGAAGGACTTGAACACGTGTTAGATGTTATTATTTATTTCTGATCTTGTGGTTTTTCAACCCATTTTGACATCCCCTCTTCTCTTCTTTCTCTCCCTGTTCTCCTTTAGTTTTTGTTCCTCTTTTTGTTTTTCTCTTTAGCATTTATTATTTGGCCTTAATGAAAATGACCATCAGCTCTCATCAGGTAAACTTTGACTTGTTTGGTCTGATCCACGCTCAGCCCTGAACACATACGCTCATTATGACAAAGGTTTTGCTTTTCTTGTAGATGTTAGGATGCTGAGGCACAAGGATGAACACGCGTAATTGTTTTTTTTATGATTTAGAAACAGAAAACCTTATGGCCTTTTTGATAAACGTGCACTTTGCAGAAGACCCTTACCTGGAATGCAGACATGTTAGTAATTTATGAAATAACTGTATATAAACACAGAGTTAAAGTGAAATTATTTATAAGAACCTTCACTTTGGTGGCTTTTGGACACTTTAACACTTTTTGGGAGAGGAAAGCATGGATTTAATCAGAGGAATGTCTAAATTTGAGGATTTTACTGGAGTGGAGGGAAACCACAGCCTCGGCTACAGGAATGCCCAGTGGAAAAGAAGAGGTGGAGAGAGGGGAGAAGGGGAATAGAGGTTTCAATGATGGCTGGGTGCCAAATGGACTTGGATTCTTGGTGGAGGATCTGTGGCGTTGCTAAGGAAACAGGAGTGTGACTAAATACACTGAACCGACTGAAATCTCATCACTACTGGAAGGAAGATTCAACAATCAGTGAAAAACTCATCCAGGTTAGTATTTAAGTTTAAATATTTTACCAAGAAACAGATGAGTAAATAACCTGTAACTATTTAACAAACTCAAATCTGTAACCTGACACTTGTCATTATACTAAACCTCTCATCCACAAACGTGTGTGGCTGTTGAGTCACGTGCTTGACAAACTGTGTCTTGCTTGTTTTTTCCAACCTAAAGTACAAAGTCTCACAGTTTCCTGTCTTTAGGCTAGTCATTTACATTTCCAGCCCTGGGTGATGATTAAATGTAAACACAAACACATTTCATTTGAACCTTTAGTACATGTGGTGACATCAAAGCGAGGAGGATGCAGAGGTGGGGTAACCTGAGAGATACTCGTTTTCAGTGACTTGCTGTCAAGCTGTTGACACGGTGAATAATAAATGACTGTAAGTGTATTTTAATGATCTTCGGTCTGTGCTCATTAGTGTTTTTGCTTTTGAGGATTTAAGCACACCTGCAACCTTGAAAGGTCATCCAACCTCTTTTATGACTTTTGTTACTTCTGTTCGTTTGTTTTTGTTCTCAGTGTCAAAAGGCTGTTCAGTGGGTGATCACATGACCTGAACAGACGCTGCAGGTTTCAGAAGCAGTTCGGTTACCATGACAACAGACTCTATAGAGACCGACACGGACTTACAAGTTCTGGGTAACAGAGGGGAGGTCCTGGAGCAGAAACAAGCTTCGCCATTCAGTCTGACAGTCACCTGAGGAACAGGTGAGATCTAGAGGGAGAGGGCATCCAGTAACACACACACACACACACACACCTGCTACATACTCACGTTTGGTCATGATGATATCACGTATCGGATACACATCGCTCCACCATCCACATGGATGCGAGCGTACAGTTTGCAGGAGGAATGAAGCTTATCTTGTGCAGATTTTCGATCTGAAAAAGCTTTAAAACTTTATGCTAATATGCAATTTTAGTTCAGAGTAGTTAAGATGAGGTTGTTTAAGTTTATCTGGTTTTTCACTTCTGTTTTGGGATCAGAGAGCAAGTGGTCCAGGCGTCAACAGTGAGCTTCTGCCTTCCATCTCCCCAGCATGCAGCTCTCCCAGAGGCTAGACCAAAGACTCCACAAACTCAGAGAGGAGGTCAGAACCATGGTAAGTCTACCAAAACAGAACAAGTTGTTAGTCCAGAAATGACTGGAGAAATAACTTCACACATGTCATGACTAACCGTTTGTTCTTTACTCTTTACTCTGAAATAGCTTCAAAACAACGAGAGATGTGATCATTTTAGTAGTTGAACTTTATTTATATCATCTCTTTTACTCAGACCCAAGAGAAGGAGCTGACAGAGCAGCTATGGAGGCAGCGGCTGCAGCGCTGTCAGAGGCAACTGAAAGCCAAAGAGGAAGAGATGAGTCGTCAGTCCCACTATTTTGAGAACTTTAAAGTCCAACTTCAACACAAGCTCAGCCTGGCCCAGGACAGAGAGCAGGCTCTCCAGAATCGCATCTACACTTTAGAGAAGCAGCTTGTTGACATGACTGTCAGCGCCGCCACGGGAACAGCAACAATCAGAGCCGCCAGAATTACAGCCAGGACCGTGACACGACCAGAAGAACAAGACAAGCTGCCCTCTATGAGAGGAGAGGGTGAGGGAGAGGAGGAGAAAAAAGAAGAGAGGAAGAAGCAATGGCTGCCAGATGTTGGGGAAGAAAGGTCAAAGGCTAATGAGGGGAAGTTGGAGACAGATGTTGATCAAGGAGGAAGCAAAGATGCAAAACAGGCTTCGAATGAGCCCAGGCTGCAAAGCTTCATCATCAGCCTGCAGGAGGATCTCAAGGTGCTATTGGAGAGAGAAGAGGATGGGCTGACGGAGCGGAGGAAGCTCTTGGAGCAGCTCCAGGAGGCCCAGGAGAATAGCCACTTCCTGGGTGGTAAAGTGGAGGAGATGAAGGCAGAGATTCATCAGCTGAGACTGTCTGAGAGCTTCCTGATGCAGGAGGTGGAAGATCTAAGAGGCGAGAATCAGAAACTCCAGCAGATCTTCGGGAATGTAGATCCAACACCTCTTCAGTCATCTACAAAACCTGAGAGCACGAGACCCCGAGCTAGCTGTAGTCCAGTTGTGCCCTTAACTACTCCTTCAGATGTCTCTACTGTAAGAAAGTCCTCTGGCGGTTTGGGAGAGGTATTTTCTTCTTCTGCTGCTGTTGCATCTTCTGCTTTTGGTCTCTGTTTTCTTCTGAGTATCATTGTTGTTAAATGAAAGTAACAGTTAAATTAAACAATGTTGTATTAGCTTTTGTTTCACACTAGCTAATATATTCTGATTTTTCTGCAGGCGCAGCAAACTGCTGGCAAGAACCAAGACCATAATCATGCTTGTGCACTTTCACCTGTTGACCACCAGAATGCAGCAGAGCACCTTCAGAACAACAGACAAAATTATTTCTCATCCGCCAAAACTGAAGCAAAGCGTGATTCTCTGAATCCTTTAAACCAGTTGAGCTTTAAACCCAAAACTGATTTCCAGCCACTTTCTGTCACTACGGAGTTCTTAAATGATTTTAAACTGGGAAACATGGAGGAAAATCCCAGTGAGGAGTCTGATGCCCTCAGAGAGGCGTTTCAGAGCTTGGGATTTGGAGAAGATCATCATGCTCTTCGAGAGGAACGTGAGCAGCTGGAGGAGCTTCTTCAGAAGACACAGGCGCAGCTGGAGACCATGACTCAGGAGAACACTCAGCTGAAGTTACAGCTCAGGAGGAGTGCAGAGGAGCAGCAGCAGGCAGCAGAACAGTGGTCATCAAGAGAACAGGTATTAGCTCTGGTAAATGTTTCTAAAGCTGTGGAAGGTTTGCTTTAATACAGCGCTAACTCTACTTTACCTTTCTATACAGATAATCACACCATCCACCTTTGACAGAGATGATCATCACCTGTCACTTTCTGCCAGGGATGATGCAGTTCCTGCTCAAGATGACCTCGTTCAGGCCTTAAATCAGGAAAACCGAGCCTTGGCAGAAAGGATCCAGGAGCTGTTGGCTCACATTGAGTTCAGAGAGAAGGAAATTGCTAAGGAACAGACCCAGCTGAGGGAAAGTATCTCTAGGATGAAGCAGGATGGTGTCAGACTGGAGCATGATAACCAAGAACAGGCCAGTTTAATCTCTGAACTAAACAAGAAGACGGAGGATGATCTAAATACCATCATGGAGCTTCAGCAGAAGTTAGAAGATGTAAAAGCAGAATCACAGGTTAAGCAGCAGCATAGAGGCCAGTGGGAACGTGCACACTCAGCTGGAATATCAGGAATGTTTTTATACAACAAACAAGAACATGCGGATGGTGTAGTTTCTAGAGTGCTGAAAGGACAAGATGAAGAATCTTCAGTTTTCCGTCAAGAAGTTAACGATTTGACCACATCCCTGTCATCTTGTTGTCAATGTAAAAATCAGCCTGAGTTATTACAAACCAGCACACAGACTGGCGACCATGTTGATTCACTGACTGAACAAGTGGCTCCGCTCTCCAGCTCAATCCAGAGCCTCAGATCAGAGCAGGAAGAGCTGATTGCCAGCATTGGTTTTCTCAGAGAGCAGCAGAAAGAAGTCACCCTGTCAGTCCAAACGCAGACGGAAGAAAAACACCAGCTAACTCGTGCAGTTTGGGCTCTGAAGGAGCAGAAAGATAACATCTGTCAGTCTCTGGCCAGCCTCCGACAAGAGAGAGAGTCGCTGAGCAGGGCAGTCTGCGGGCTGAAGGATGAGAGAGAGCAGTTTTTAAAGTCTGTTAGTGGCCTAAAAGAAGCAAATGAGCAGCTAAACGAGTCTTTATCTGCTCTTCAAAGAAAAAAAGAGACAGTGATGGAATCACTCTCAAGCGAAAAAGAAGAGAGAGATCGAATCATGCAATCTCTGCAAGGTTTGCAGACAGAAAATGATCAGCTGAGCCAAACAGTGCTTCATCTTAAAGAACAGAGAGACCAACTAGCTGATTCTCTCAGGTGTCTGACTGAACAAAGAGACCAGAAAAAACTAAATCTCACTTTAAAAGAAGACCACGACCAACTGATGCTGTCAGTCAGCAATTTGAAGAAAGAAAGAGGAAAAATAGAGCATTCCATCAACTGCTTGAGGCAAGAGGAAAACCTCCTCATGCAGCAAATCCTGGATTTAAAAGAGGAAAGACACAGCCATCAGACTCCCCTCATTCAAATGCAGCAGCCACTAGATTTATGCAGTGCTGATGACATCACAGGAAAGACGCATGATAGGACCGGAGATCACACCGCGCCAGGAAGTGATACCAGAAACCATGGAGATGCGTTTCCACAGGTATGGAGAGTGAAATCTGTGCATGCTGTTCAGGTCATTGTTGGGCCACACTATATAACGCGGTTTTGATGGCTAACAGAAACAAAATGGCCTGATGGAGGAGATTGAAGCTTTGAGAGCAGAACTACAAAAATCCCAACAGGAACTGGACAGGATGCACTCAGAGGTGAGTGTAGGTCGGGTCAGCTTACCTAAAAGTAGAGAATTTTTTTTGTTAATTATGAACAACACATCACACACATATCATTGAAAGCTTTTCTAATCGAAATTCATGCTTGTGTTCAGAACAAGAGTTTGCACACAGAGCTCTCCGAGTCTGAAGCCCGGCGTGGCGAGGCAGAGAGAAAAGCATGTCAGGCGTCTGAGCAGGTGATCAGACTGACTGAGTCTGTCGGTCTGATGGAAGACCTCATGAAGGACAACAAGAGCCTCACAGCGCAGGTACCTCACCAAGTGTAGAGGAACTGTCAAAGTATCTCAAGTCTTTATAAGATTCGAGATCACTTTATTGTCATTGCACAGATGCAGAACAAAATTGACTTTGTGCTCACTAAAGACAGCTCACATAAGGAGTCTCTCTCTCTCTCTCTCTCTCTCTCTCTCTCTCTCTCTCTCTCTCTCTCTCTCTCTCTCTCTCTCTCTCTCTCTCTCTCTCTCACACACACACACACCTTTTGCACAGCCAGATAACTAAACAAAAAACTGAAATTTAAAGTAAACATAATGTAAATGTAAACAGTCACATGCTGAAGTATCAGAGTTAACTAGCTTACTATAAAGATGCTGCAGTGCACTAATTATCCAGCAGAATCACTGTTGGTGTGGCAGCAGCAACATTCAGTTCAGTGATGGCTCGTGCATAAAGGCTGTTCGCCAGCCTGGTGGTGCATGCTTTTATTGCCCTGTATCGTTTACCAGACGGAAGAAGTTTGAAGAGATGGTTAGCAGGATGGGTTGAATCCTTTAGGATGTTTGTGGTTTTTCAAAGGCAGCGAGTGCCATCCAGGGCAGGCAGGTGTGTGCTATTTTCTTTGCAGTGAGACACAGCAGTGATGTAAATAAAACTATCTGTAAAAAAAAAAAAATAGAGTTACGTTTTATTACAAGACAAGTTTAACATTTTGTGGCTGCAGCCAGTGGTGCACCTCCATAGTGACTCTGTTTTTAGTGTAGGAGATTATGTGTAATATTAAAATATCACACTCTGGCTGAACTATGTGGCTCTCCCCCTGAGGATGACTAAATGAAATATCTATCTATCCACCCATTTACTAATAATGTGCACATCTGCAGGTGACACAGTTTTAACCTCAGGTTCACACTTGAGTTACACTTTCGAAATTTCTAGTCCCTTTTCTGTTAAGTCTTCTCTTCACCTCCATGTGTTAGCTGGGGGTGTTTTGGAAGAGTCTGGATGTTACTTCCTGTTGTTTTCCTCAAGATGCAAACCCAAACAAGGAGATGAGTTATTAGACCTCACTAATGTCTGTGCCTCCTGTAGGGGAAGGAGCTGCAGAACAAACTGACTGTCCTGCTGAGAGAAAAGAATAATGCTCTGTCCCTGAAGGCCCAAACTGATGAGCAGAACACCATCCTCACCGCCCAACTCAAAGCTAAGGTGATGGTTGTTTTTGTACTCTTTCTGGCTGTTTTGTTGAAAAACAACTCTCATGGGTGATGTTTACCAGACACGAGTCATTAATTTAAGATCGATGTACCAGAATAATAAGAATATGGCGAGTTTGTTTAAATTGACCTTAAGTCAAATTACTGACTCGTGTAAAATTCTCCAGATACAAGCTGATCAAATGTCTCTTTTCACGTTATTTGTAGTGTGAAAAATCTCAGTAAACAATTCAAATACCCACACAGCCCATCCTTTATTAAGGACCTGTGGTGACACTGGTGTCACAGTCCAATTCAAGCTTCTGCAAAACTGCTTTTTGAGTCATATATTCAAGTTTGACAACCCCAAGTGACATCCTATTCATACATATAGAGTATCAAATGTTATTTTACTTCTTTGGTGTATTTATTCCAATCTGTTTTCTTTGAGTTCTACATCCTTAAAGTTTAATTCCATTCACAAGACCTGGGAAGATGAAACAGGTTTTTATATTGGTTTTATACATCATCTTTGTTCTAGGCATTTATTCGTTTTCCTGTGTGTGTGTGTGTGTGTGTGTGTGTGTGTGTGTGTGCGCGTGTGTGTGTGTGTGTGTGTGACCTTAAAGAGTGTGGCTCTGGAGGAACTGAACTCTGAGTATATCGCTCTGAAACGAGGCAGAAGCAGCAGGGAGGATGCGAACGCTGCCTTTATCTCCCTCAGGGCCCGTTATGATGACATCAGAGCTAAGGTGGGTATCTAATTGATCATTGAGCTTTTTTAGTATTTAATTTTAGATTGTGGCTTTATGATTATCAGAAATGTCTTTGTTTGTAATTATGTTTTTAGTATGATTCACTTCTTAAACGAAAAAGCCAAACAGATGTGGAAATAGCTCCTTTAAAGGTGAGGAAACCTTGAAATTCCCATCTCTCCTGCTTTGTTGCTTTTGCTGTTTCAGTCACTGATACATTTTCCAACAACAGGCCAAGCTGTCTTGCCTGGTGCTGAAGTGTCAGCAGAGGAACTGCTTGTTAGTGGAGATGATGAAGTCCATGCAGAAACAGGTGTGTGTGGACCCCAGACTCACACAACAAGTCAAGCATCTGCTCAGTGACGCAGCTCTGCAGGAATACGCTGCAGCGTTTACACCAGGCAGCTACATGCAGACCCAAAACTGCTGCAGTGAGTTTACACAAGACTTTATTTCTAAATTTCACCACTGCTGCAACAGATTCACACGTGATGAAACCTGCCCCATTGTTTCGATCTGTGTGAGCAAACAAGACGGCGTCTCAGCTGAGTCTGAATCTCAGTGGGGCGAAGGAGAGAAATATTCTTCAGTATTTGCAACTGAGACTTCAGCAAATCTTCAGGCAGCAGCTGAAACACTAAAGAAAACCTCACCTGGGCCAACATCACCTGTACAAGAGTGTCCAAGTGTCCCTGTGTCTTCATTTGTCCCACTGAAGGACGACATGAGCACAGATATGTTACAGGTGAGATCATACATCTTAGAATCATGTTTTGTGTTTTTTCAAATGTTAAAGTTTTTTTTTTTTGTGATGATTTTTACTCACAACTGGACATTAATCTTCACACACCCTTTTTGTTTTTAATCCCATCACAGCTGTGTCCTGCTAGTGGACTAAATAATCTGCCAGAGAAGTCAGGATTTCAGCATTTGAACATAAATCAAAAGTCCTCCCCAGAAGTGATCAGTCGGGGTAAAAGTCCCACTCCTCTCTTCTCCTGCCCACGGGTCAATCCCAGCAGGAGGCTGAGTAGTCCTGAGAAGATTATCAACCTTCATGAACAGCTGCAGAAGACCCTGATCAGCAACTTTCAGGTACTCTCAGGATTTATCAACATCTCAACACAAGATTAAAATACTGTATAATCTACAAAATAGTCTAAATCTGAGGCTTGATTCGGACTTTTGACTTTCTGGCACATATAAAACTATTTTTATAACGTCTTTGTTTATTTCACATCTGCTTCTCTTCTCTGAAAGGCACCAGAGAGCAGAGGACGAGGACAGGAGCCCAGGATGTCCCTTTCAGCCCAAGCTGACCTAAATTCAGCCAACACAACAAAACACCTTTCCTACACTCTTCAGCACCTCCCCTCTGTAGTTCCAGCTAAACCTGCCTCCTCTGACAAATCCGTGACTCTTTTTAATGCAGTTGCATCTAGATCTGCTAATATGAGCAGCATGTTCACTAACCATCACCTTAAAGTGGATGGTTTTAAAACTCATTCCAGCTCTTCTGACTTTGCTCTTGTCAGCCCGACTCCCAGTAAAGACAAAATAAACTCATATGAAGCCACTCATGTGATGAAGCCGAAGCAGACTAAGAAAGTGACCACTGTTCGTGATGTTTCCAATGCTACACAAGCAGCATCTATGCTGAACACACCAACTTTCCCTAATTCCAATGTTTCTGTCATGACCTCTAAAGCAGACAGTGCTGCTCTGACTCCTGATAGCTTTGCTTTACGCTCTCAGTCCGCTCATTCCTCTTTAGATCAATCCAAAAGGTCTGCCACCACTTCCCTGGAAAAGACTTCAAGACCCAAACCAGGTAACTTTTACAAAACAGCTTCTAGAGGGCGGTTAAATAAATTCATCCGTTCTACAAATGTTAAGCTGACTGCCCGCTTCGGCGATTCCTCTAAAGCTCTTTCTGCTGTGATTCACCAGATTCAGACTTTACAAAAGATCTGCAAGGGATTTGGTTTAAATTCATAGTCATGAGGGACTGAAGGAAGGATTTTATTTGACTCAAAAACACATTGAAGCCAAGAGAAAACTGGAATAGATGACCAAAAATGTAAAAAAAAGAAAAGTTATCCTAAAGCTCTGTTTGAAGAAAAGCATCCAACACACTGAAAAGCCTATTTTTGTTATGAGAATAACATGTTTGTGTGTTTTATGCATTATTCTGTGCATGATGTAGCAGTGTATTACTGTAGATTATTGGTTTTTCTTTGCTCACTGCTATGATCTGATTACACTGCATCTAAATAAGGCCTTTCCTCTGTGCCTGTCTGTTTTATTAATGAAAATGCTTCAGTGCAGATTCTAGCTGTTTGGTGATTTCCAGTTTATTGCCCACACAACACACACAGCAGTTTATGGTTATTATGTTTTAATGTATCGTTTGGCCTCATTAGTAAGTTCTAAATATACCTTTTTATGTCCTTGTTTTATTTGTTTGTTGTTGACGAATCTGAGTGATGGAGGCGGGATGTGATTCCATGCAGAAATAGAGTTTAAGTGTGTGTGCACAATGTTCCTTGTTTAATCATTTCAGAATCTCCAGCTGAGGTCCGCTCTGTTGAAGTTATTAAAAGAGTGGGTCAGAGCAGCCTCCTGATTGGCTGGCAGAGGCCGCTACTTGACGAACTGGGCTGCAGTAACGGCACGTTCGTGTATGGATACAGAGTAAGCAGAGTGAAAGGCACTTTGGTGCTAACTTAGTCTGGATTCATTGTTTTAAATGTGTCTCGTTTGCCTTGTTCTAATTATTTATTTTTTCAGGTGTTTGTGAATGGAGACTTCCACAAATCAGTGATGAGCTCAGCATGCACCAAGGTATGAAATCATTCATCATATTACCATAAACATACACACAGGCTGTACAAATCATGTATTTGTTCACAGTGCATCCTGGAAAACGTCGATCTTAGTGTCCCAGTCCACATCAGTATCCAGACTCTGGGCTCTAACGGTCTGCCCTCAAACAGCGTCCAACTCATTTATACCACTTTGAACAGATCAGAGCAGAGGTGATTTGAAGCCGGATTAAAGCAGCCCTCCCAGTGACACAGATCAGCAGGTAACATTACTGCAAATTGTGTTCTGTCTGTTTGTAAAGAAAACATTCATTACAGGGGCAGAACTTTAAATAATCATCTAAACATGCTGCTGGCTCAGGAACAGTGACCTATACAGTACCGGCTCATTCATAGGGGGCGCTAGGACGACACACTCCCTGATGTAACGGGAGAATAAAAACAATTGTGAAAGTAGTTTATTTTTGAGTTTAGTTTTTTAAAATAATTCAGTTGAAGTGTGGTTGAAAAGCAATATCTGACTTTCACTGGTTAAATTTACACATCATTTTAAACAGCGGTCTCTCATTAAACTCTGTCTCTCTGAAGTTAAATTCTGGTTCTCTTCCACCTTCCGTCAGCTTAACAGTGACAAGTCAGAAATCCCCCTCACCGGCCCCAAGTCCTCCCTCTCCAAGATCAGTTCATTCTCACTTATCTTCGATAACACCACACTTTCCCCTACCCTTAAAGCCCAGAGCTTGGGCGTCATTTTGGACAACACCTTGTCATTCATACCTCACATCAACAATATTACAAAAACTGCTTACTTCCATCTCCGCAATATTAATGGACTCCGCCCCTCCTTCAGCCAACACTGCTGCTATTTTGATTCACAGTCTTGTCACCAGCCGCATCGACTACTGTAATGCCCTCCTCTCCGGTCTCCCCCTAAAGTCAATCAATAAACTTCAGCTGGTCCAGAATTCCGCCGCCCGTATAATCACCAAGACCTCCATCTACGATCACATCTCTCCTGCTTTGCACCAACTTCACTGGCTCCCTGTTAAATACCAAATTGACTTTAAAATTCTTCTGTACACTTTCAAAGCCATCCACAATCTCGCTACTCCATACATTTCTTATCTCATCCATGTCGTCACTCCCACTCGCTCGCTTTGATCATCATCCTCCGTTTCCTTATCTGTTCCCCGTATTCGCCTCAGTAACACTGGAGCCAGAGCCTTCAGTCTGACGTCCGCAATATCAACTCATTCTCAACCTTTAAGTCCCAACTCAAAACTCATATGTTCCGCTTGGTTTATCCACCATAACTACACTCCTTCTCCAACCCTTCTCTAGCCTAGCAACTGAAATCCTCCATTCCTACATTTTTATCTAGTCTTAGCTCCTTTATTTTATCTTGATTGTTTTATGTATTTATTTGTATTGGTGTTTTTTTATTATTTTTTTCTTCTTGTATGTACCTGCACTTGTAAAGTGACCTTGAGAGTTTTGAAAGGTGCTTGAAATAAAATGTATTGTTATTATTATTATTATTATTATTATTATTAAACTGTGCATTTCCAGACTCACTAGCATCACTACTGGGGCCCCTGAGCTGCAGCTAAACAACCAATCACAATTGGTTGCTAGAGAGAACTGAAGAATTGTTTGGCCAATCACCATCACCAAGTTTATTGTGTCTGTGACAGTAAACAGCTAGCATGCTTGAAGGTGCTGGATTTCCAGCCACCGCTGGTCCTTTGACGTTTAGAAGAAAACCCTCCATCTTTACTCAGACAGATTTTACAGCAGAAACAACTTTTAAGTTTAAACAGGTCACAAAAGGTTTTGGAGTATATTGAGGTTTATGTTTTGTAATTATTTTCCTGTTTTGGAGATTTTACAATGTTTACCAAGTGTGATGAAGCCACACACACTAACTTTTGAGCTGTCTATACTTCCCCAAACTTCTTACTCTCACAAACCTAACGGTTGTTACTTCGGTAAATCATCAGAATGTTGGCAGTTTAGTCTTTCACACACAATCTGACTCATACAAATCTACAGTTTCCTCTCAGATCCTGTCAGAGTGCCTTAGCTTAGTCTTCAGTAGACTCCCATAAAATTTCAGCTTTGTTGTGTTTTCCAAACTGAAATTGAAGGGACTTTTTCACTTGTCAGGTGTTATAACCGTGGACGCATAAAAATTGATGTGTGTGGCCTCTTCTACTTGTGGTCGAGGACAATTCCATGGGGTTTTTGTTTCTTTGCACGGGGACCGAGGAATACTTTCAAATCACTCATTATTCCCCAAAGAGTCAGTCAGGGAATACGAGACACAGGTGTGTGGTTTCCGTGGTTACCAGAAAAGCCATTAACAGCTACTTAAACATGTTGAGCTTTGTTTTTGTTTCTTCTTCTAAAAGTAGAATTTCTCATATTAACAAACACATTTTAAACAGCATTTTTTTGGTCAAATTAAATGAGAAAATTCATGAAACACTACTTTGATCAAAAACAAACCCATGATAGTTTGACACCAAACAGTGACATTCTGATTTTCTGTGTGTCCTCTCATCTGTGCACATCCATCTATAGCTGCAGCCCTCTGGGGATGCGTCCTAACCTTCTCCTCTGCTGGGACACACAATCACACTGCATCATGTGACGCTCGGGCCAGCCAATCAGAACAAATCGTCTCTCATGGTTTTTATTCCGGACGCAGCGACCTAAACCTAAACATCCTTATCTGAAGATGCGAGAGTCCAGCCTCTACAATCAAAGTTTCTCTGCCTGTAAAGACCCTTTTGACATGTTGGAGGAGCTTTCACCTGCAGGACCTTTTGAATAAGTGAGATGAAAGATCAGAGTGGCTTGCCCTCCTTTACACTGTGTGAAACACTGAGGATCATCGTTGGCCATTAACCACATCTGGACAGCATCACAAAGTGAACAAGTCTTCACACTCAGTGGTCAATAGTACTTGATTTTTGTACATGAAGCCAAATATGGGAAACGATTCTTTACTCCAAAGACGTTCCTCTCTTCTCACAGGTCAATAATGTTTATTTAGACATGCAGACGGAAGGTTAAGTTGTGAAATTTGCACACAAGAAGAAATTTAAACAAGATGATCGCTGATATTTTTTGTAGAAAATGTTCTAAGAAAACGCCAACATCCTTTACCTCACCGTATTTTTCTTTTTTATGAATGACACTTTGTTCTGCTAATAGATGTCATCTTCTTTGCACTCAGTTTTCTTTCCTTTTTTAATTTAACAAATACAACACTGTATTCTTTTTCTACTTGCTGTGTGTGTGTGTGTGTGTGTGTGTGTGTGTGTGTGTGTGTGTGTGTGTGTGTGTGTGGAGTGATCATGGTGCAGCAAAGGTATTTTTATAACAGTAATGTTATTTCCCACTGATTCCTTTAGTATGCACAGAGAATAAATGTTTATTTGATATTAAATATCAATCTGCTAATCGTCTGTTCATTGATTATGTATAAAATAAAAGTGCTTAAACATTAAATTAAGTGAAAATAAAACATGACTAAAACACATTTAAAACGGCTGATTTAGAGTCTAACAATAACCTAAAGAGCTCCTGCACAAATTCCACTGATCACCTAATGTCAATGTTCAACTGGGTATTTACGCGGTGACAAAACAGCTAATGACCACTAGGGGCGGTCCTGAGAGCTGAAAGTCCACAGATGTTGAAGGCAGCTTTTCAGTAATTATCTGACAGGTGCTTTAAGCAGAGATTTATTGGAGTCTGGTGCAAATATGCATACAAAGACACAGCCAAGCTGCTCAAAACATCACAGTGATTGTTTCTTCATTCACCAGAAAACAAAACTAAACAAAGAAGAGGCACAACAACAAAAAGTAAGAAGCCCAAGCAGCAAAAACAAGCTTATTAATCACCTGCTGTGCTCTGCAGCTTTGAGAGCCCCTCTGAGAATGTTATTGCTTGTGTTCAGCAGAAAAAGGGGCCCACGGGTGGAGGAGTGTGTGTGTGTGTGTATGTGTGTGTGTGTGTGTGTCCAGGAGGTAGCCGATCAACTATTCATAAAATATCTATTTTTTTGTGTTTCTAAGGATTTCAGTGGTCATGTAAACATGACTTCACTACACGTCCACACCTTGATGGATGAGTTACCGACCCGCAAAACAAACTAAAGGATGATGAGAGCCACCTGTAGAGAAAATCAGGTATTGAGCTCTGTCTCATTGCATAAAACTGGAGAAAGCACCTTCAACATCATCTGTCAAGCATGTGCCACTTAAACTTAGAAAGAAGTAAAGGCCGTTGTGAAACAAACCCCAAGGAAACAAGTCAAATAGTTATTTGTTTAATTATAAAAAGGTTCAGCTTTATTCTGGTTCTAAACTGATTGCGAAAATTAGAACAAATCTCAGTTCTTTTAAGGACTAAAGGACGCGCTTCCATCTAAAATATGTTTTTGTCTTATTGTTAAACTATGAAACAATAAACATTTACCGGTAGATTGCAAAATAAAGCATCGGCACAATTTCCAAGTATTCCTGAATATCAGAAATGTCCGGGTATTTAACCTAAACCTCCCCATTTCTTCTAATTCAAATAATTTTTTGTCAACTTTGAAACAAAAGATTAATCCCACTTTAGTGAAGAATAAGTAAACTGAAACTCAAAGCTGCCTTCATCCACGTCCCTGGAGGATTTTTTTTTACACATCATTGGGACTAGTACTTGCTGCTGTACTCTGTGGGTAAAATAAACACACAAACGCCTGTAGAGCACCAAATATGTCATTAAACAGCCTTCCTGTCCCTGAATGAACAGCAAAAGCTGAAGCAGATCCACAGGAATCCTCAAGCTTTCTGCAGGGAGACTAACCTTCATTATTAACACACATGCATGCACGCACTTGTGCACAAACACGCACACACACCCAAACACAAGATGCCCACTCAAAGCATTGATGTATATGCTAACGTCTTGTTTATCTATAATAAAAGGTCACTTTGTTAAGTGATGCCTGCTTAATTCTGGCTCTTGTCATGCCGACCAAGTATGTGTGTGTGTGTGTGTGTGTGTTGGCGGTGGTGGTGGGGGCAGACAGTGATGGAGTGTGAAGGAAGGAAAGCAGGAGATAAAAGTGAGTGTATAAATGACTTGCCAGACTGGCGTCAATAAATAAACCTTTGTTTCCTCTTACTAAGCATTCAGGTGATATCTTAGGTGTACATTGAAATGAGACAAAGAAGAAGGATAGTGTGTTGTGAGGTTATAATTCCGCCCAGAGGAGACACTCGCTCCATCACTGCTGCTGGCACTTTGGGTGGTGGTTCAGAGGTCTGAACCTGCAGGCCATTCAGCTGCTCAGCCCTATAGCTCTATAAGTGGCCCTTTCCTGTTGCTGAAACATAAACTGATAATATCCCTTCATGCAAACACACCCATGAGTACTACAACAGTTGGAAACAGCCAAATAGTTGGGAGCTAACGAGGTTTCTGTTGTTCTGGCTCTATCAGTCCATCTCAGTGTCTTAGAGACAAACAACTATCAGAGCTCACAGCTGCCTGCCTCTGATTCAATTCTGACAGCATTCAAAGCAATCTCTTCTCTTTTCATCCTGCTTAGTTTTCTTCTATTCTAATTTTTCTACCCTTTTGCTTTTAGCATCCATTTGCTTTCCATTTTATCTCTTCTAGCTCTTCATTTTTAACCTAATTTGCATGAAACAACCACTCTTCTATTTTCTCCTCATGCTTAATTCTTTTTTGTGTTTGTTTATCTCTGTTTTTCTCTTGTTCTTTTGAGGAATTTTAATTCCCCTCTGTTGTTTATATATTTGACCTCCCATTTTTTCCAAGTTTCCTGCTTTATTGCATTTCACTTCTCAGACTATTGTTTCTTTTCTCCTCCCTTCTTGTTTCCTTTCAATTGTCTTCAAATAGTCTAAAAAATCCTATCTGGTTCTTTTTCTTCTCTAACAGCAGCAGAAACAAGGGCTTCACCCTTCGGAGCAAATCCACACTGAAACAAACATCAGACAGAGCAACTTATAATTTAGGGAGAGACAAGCAATTAGCTGCTATTACATCCTTGGATCTACAAGCAAAGGCAACCCTAATCTCATTAATCACCAACAATGGGGGCGGTAATCGACAAGCATGTTTAATGCAAATGTCCCTGCACAGTAATCTGCACGCCTAAAGCAGAGAAGGTGCATGAAGACTTGCTTTTTCTCTTCTTTAATTTTCTTTCACGTTTTCTTCCCTTTCGTGTTTGTTCAGCTTTTTTTCGCTACGTGCAAACCAGAACAATCATTCTCCTGCAGAACTGTATCGATTCCCGTCTGCCCCAAGCCTTTCAGTTTTGATGGGTAATAACCCTCAGAAGGAGCAGAACAATGAGTTTTACGTCCCATATCTGAACAACTACTCCCCCCTCCTCCTCCTGGCAAATTCTCCATCTCATTTCACTTCTCCTTCATCAGTTCTCTGTATTTCTCTCTTTTTTTATACCTTCCATTTGCATGTTTATTGTTTCACTGCTTGCCTCTCTCCCTCTCTCCCTCCTGTGGTGTCTGTTTTCATCCATTGCTTCATTTCTTCTCTTTAACTTTGCCATTATTGTGCTTTTCTTTTCAGTATTTTTCACTGTAACTATCGGTCCAGTAGCTAAACACGATTCAGGACTAAAATAGCCTGGAAAAACCTTATGAGATTATCTCTCTGCACCTCCTTTCTCCTTTCTTCTCTCTTGTGAGCTCCTCATTTTTTCCATCCTACCTTCTCGGTTTGAGACTTTGTCTCTCCCGAGTTATGCTCCAGTTTCTGATGATATGATGTAAAGCCTGGGTGGATCAGGGTCCAGGTGAAGGTCAAAAGGATTCGTTGGCAGACTAGACGTGCGGTCTATTGATGAGGAAGGGTGAAGGAATCAAAGCAGGGTCTTGGAAAAAGCAATAAGGACTTTTGATCAGAAACGAGGAAAGAAAACTAAAGATGTTGGAATTCAGCTGAATAATGATTAATTTCCGAACACCTGACTAGATTTTTAAAACAGCTACTTTCTATTTAAGTTTAACAAGCACAACTTTAATAAAAAGGAGCTTAAGAAAAGATTAATATAACATGAGCTGATGGAAAGCAACACTGGTATTAATGTGACACCGCCACACAAACTCTGCTCAGAGAAAAGTTCAAGGAAGACGTAAAAATCCAGAAAGCTAAGCTGTACAAACATGATGGGATGAATTCAAGCAGTTCTGATCTAGAGGCGTCACCTTCTGTGGAAACTGTCCATCCATTCATTCATTTTTGTCAGATTATCTGTGGTCGTGTGTTGGGGGCAGCAGCCTGAGCCGAGAGGCCCAGACTTAACCTCTCCCCATCCACTTGGGCCAACTCCTACGGGGGAATCCCAAGGCATTCCCTGGCTAGCTGAGAGACATAGTCCCTCCAGCATGTCCTGGGTCTTCCTTTAGGGCTCCTCCTGGGTGGACATGGAGGAGAAAAATGAGAAAATCAAAACCTCACCAGGGAGGCGTCTAGGAGGAGTCGTCATAATCAGACGCCTGAACCACCTGACTGGCTCCTCTCGATTTGGAGGAGCAGCAGATCCGAGCCCCTCCCGGATGCCCAAGCTTCCTCTAAAGGAGAGCCCAGGCACCCTGCTAAGAAAACTGATTTTGGCTGCTTGTATCTGCAATCGGTCACTTTTGGTCACTACTCATAGCTTGTGACCATAGGTTCAGCTCTCTTTTCACCCTGACAGACCGGTACAACGCAGATGCAGCTCCAGTCTGCCTATTGATCTCACGCTCCATCGTTCCCTCACTCGTGAACAAGACCTCGAGATGCTTAAACTCCTTCACTTGAGGCAGGACCTCATCCCTAACCTGGAGAAGGCATTCTACCCCTGTCCAACTCTTGGATTTAAAGCTGATTCTCATCCCAGCTGCTTCACACTCAGCTGCAAACAGCTCCAGTGAGGGCCGGAGATCACGTTCTGATGAAGCCAACAGGACCACATCATCTGCAAAAAGCAGACAGTGAGGAGGATTTATTTTTGCGGTAAATATAAATATCTATTAATTAATTATAATACTACTTTCATTATTAATATCCTATTTTATAAATCCTCCAGTGTTATAGGTGCATAATGTAGAAATGAAGTAAAAATTTCATCCTGTGGTAAGATTTGGTTACTGCAACCACTTTAAACAACTCCAGAGCGTTGTGTCGGCCGCTGTCAAATTAAAATAGCTGGTGCTGCAATGTTAGCTCGCAGGAGACACGGCACCCCCACACTCACTGATGGTAAACAGTAGTTATGCCCCTCCTTCCTTTGTTTTGAAAGGAGAAAAACTGACAACCCAGCAGCCAGCTGGGTATGAATTAACCGTTCATCCAAAATTACTGAATCATTAGACTCTTTTGGGATTTTCTCCCGGTAAAATATTTACTACATTCTTACATACTGC